GCCTCCCCAGGCTGCCTTTGAGGAGGCCCAGGAAACCTAGGTGTTCACTCCACCCAGGGCGCTGGGCCCACAGTTCTGCAATTCTGGCAGACTCTCAGGGGAGACACAGATCCACTCTGATCACTGCTCACCTTCCTATCCTGGGCTTGTAGGGGAGGAACTGAGGTGTACCCTACCCTCTCAATCCCTCCAGACATTTTCCACTCTTTCTCCTTGGGTCTCCTCTGAAGTCCGTGGGCTGAGTCCAGGATCTGTGTGGCTTTCTGTTCTCATGGTCATAATTATTTTTGCGAATTCGGTGACTCTCAAGCTTTGTCTCCAGCCCAGATGCTTTTGCCCAATCAATTCCCTCTGCCTGGATGTCCGTCCCCAATCTTTCTTCCTTCCCTACATCTGGAATCCCAAGCCCTGATTCTATCTGGAACCCCACATCCTTCACATCTGGAGCCCTACATCTGGATCCTTGCACATCTGCATATAGAGCCCCCCCACAGCTGCATCTGGAACCTGACACCCCTATAACTGGAATCCTCTATCATCTGAATTCTGAAAACTCTGCGTCTGAAGCCCACACCCCTAAACCTGGAACCTGACCTCCTATATCTGCAATCCCACACCCCTAATCCAGATCCCTACAATCCTAAATCTGGAGCCCCATGTTCTTGCATCTGGAACCCCACACATCTACATCTGGAATCTGATGTCCCTATATGTAAACCCCACACATCCATATCTAGAGCCCCACACTGCTCCATCTGGAACCTGACACCCCTGTATCTGGAGTCCCACACCCCTAATTTGGGTCTCTATACTCCTGCATCAGGAACTCATAGCCCTGGATTTGAATCTCACTTCTGCTCCATTTTGATCTAGAGCAATTTACTTCAACCTATTTCCTTCTGTGTACAGTGAGACAGTAATGTCTACATGAAGCCTCTGAGGGACTTTGTGAGACCCTAGTGCTTGAGGCAGGAGCCTTGGTAGCATAGTGCCTAAGGCACTTGACTGCTAACCAGA